GAAATGTTTTCATATAACGTTCACATATGAGCTTTCAGAACAATATATGAAGAGTTTATATCAAGTGCCATCTAGAATATTCCTTGACGATGAGCAGTTTTCTCTGCCTCTTATGTTTATGTTCAGTTATTTCATGTTAAATCTGATGAAAACAACCTGTTCTTAACCTTAAAAGTAAAATTACTGTATCAAAACATAGGAGCCTGAGAATAATGCTGATGTTAGAGGAAAGTTTCAGAAGGCACTTAGAGGATTTTGCATCTAAACTCTTCATATATATATATATATATGCACAGCACTGTAACCCATGTGAGCTGACCTGCAGCAGGCGTGACCCGTAGAACCTCCACCCCCTGCGGGAGCTGCATCTCCTGGCTGTAGACTCTGCTGCTGGTCAGGCTGAGCCGGCAGGCGCTCTGCAGGTTGGAGGTGCTCAGTTTAGATCTGGAGGAACTGACCGACTCAAAGTTACACTGGGCTGATGGAGAGACCGTCTGCTTTTCTGCAGGAGGCTGAGTTTGCTCTGAAACAACAGAGACAGGCACATATAACTTCATATAAATAATACCACACATTAATATATACAGTCAAAGTCAGAATAATTCACTCTCCTGTGATTATTTATTTCTTCACATATTTCCCAAATGATGTTGAACAGATTCTGGAGTTGTTCACAGTGTTTCCTCTAATATTTGTTCTTCTGGAGAAAGTCATTTGGGTTTTTTTTTTTTTTTTGCTAGAATAAAAGCAGTTTTTAATTGTTTAAAGCCCATGTTAAGGTTAATATTATTAGCCCCTTTAAGCTAAATTCGTTTCAAATTGTCTCCAGAACAAACCACTGTTATACAATGACTTGCCTAATTACCCTAACTTTACCCTAATTACCCTAGTGAAGCCTTTACACGTCACTTTCATGTCACTTGAAGAATATCTAGGCTAATATTAAAAAAAGAAAGAAAAAATAAGTCCGTTATTAGAGATGACTTATAAAAAAATCTGAGAAATCTGCTCTCTGTTAAACAGAAATTGTGGAAAATATACAGCCATGCAAACTGAAGAGAAGGGTGAACAATTCTTCAACTGTAAATATAAAGATTGAGTGTTGTATTTTATATCATTCATTCCGTAATTATGTTTATCCATCAAACTGACTCCAGTCGAACACTTAACAATTAAACTATGCAATATGTAAAACAGTGATGTGCACCATTTGTGATATTCCAATAATTCAAACATACAGTGCCTATAAAGTCATCATATGCTGTATAAAATCTACACCTTTACTCACATTACAGCCTGCTGTCAATAAGAGCTTGAGGATAAAGCTGGATTTATACTTTCGCCTGGCGCCACATCGCGCACCTCCGCTGACTGCGCACGCACCTCACCAATTGGTCGAGGCTTTTATACCTGCCGCGTTCGCAGTTGTGATGTTCTTAAAAACGACAGGGGCCGGTCAAAAGAAACCCAGAGTAAAGTCAGATGGATAAACAGAGAAGTAGGACATTTCCAGAACTACGTCATATCATCAATATCAAGTATAAGATTTTTAAACTATTTTTATTTTTTTTTATATAAATTATTTTAATGATTATACAGATTTTTATCACCATTCAAGATTTATTTTAATCAAACTTTAATGCATCACTTGCTTTTGTTCATATCTCAGACAGTTTTACCTATTAAAGTGTATTAAAATATTAATGACATTAGAGCATGGGTTGCTCTACAAATGTATTTTTTATTATGGCAAGAATAAAAGCAAAAAAAAGTGCACTTACTAAAGAATCCAGATGGCTGTTTGTTTTTTATTTAGCCCGCTCCACAGTCCTATTCTCTACTCATGCTAAAAAGGCAATAATAGTCCAATAAAGCCCAGAAAAACAGGGCATCAGTATACTGTAAACCGACAGGTTCAAATATTCCATTCCAGTTATCAAAGACATCATTTGAAAATTGTTTTAAATTCAAATGTGTAATTTAAACATCAGGGTGAATTCTGTGACTGGTGGAACAACATATTTCTGTATGTGTGTATGTGGGTCTCCACTTCTGCCAAGGCCACTTTTGGCTCTAACAAACTCATCCCTCAGGTTTCTCCAAACTTTAACAAAAGCTTTCCTCCTTTCCCACGGCTGTTGCAATTTCTAGCCAAGAATTATTGTTCATCTGGTTATCTCTCTGATCATGCATGGACGGATCATGAAGATGTGTGTACATTCACTCCTGTTTCAGACTGTGGGCCGTATCATACACCCGGCGCAGTGTGACGCAAGGCACGACGCAATTGTTGTTTGCTAGTTTCAGCTTGGCGCAAGAGTGGTTTGAGGCGTTGCGCTACGCTGTTTAAATAGCAAATACATTTGCGCTCATATGTGCGCCCATAGGTGTTCTGCTCTAAAAAGGAAGGCGATATGAGGCGGACCGCTGGCGCGTCGCTATTTTAAGAAACTATAATAGATTTTTCATTACACCAAAACAAACCCGGTCTAAACTCCAGCGCAGAGTTGCACCTCGCTTACACACTGCTTAACACAAGATGTAGAGCAATACGCAAATATCTTTACATATGAAAAAAATTCAATATTAAGGATATATATAGGATATAATAAGAATAGTTATAGAATATAAATATAAAGGATTAAAATATTAAATATGAAATAAATATGAAAAATCACTGCTTTTATGCCTTCTTCATCTCGGGAGGCTTTTTCAGTTCATTCATCACAATCTGCTTTTGTATAATGTTATTATTATTAGCAGTATTATTTATTATATCCATATTTATATTTGTTTTATTAAAAACAAGCTTATATTTGTCCACCTGCAGGTTTTAGAGCATATGGGGCAGCATGTGTTTTAGGATATAACTCAGGTTTGAACACACTTCATTATTATTGTTCATTTATTCCTCTGCTGGAGATTAGAACTGAATTCAGAAATAGTTTTGACACAAATTTTTGCGCTTAACAAACTAAATTAATTATTTATAGGCTAATTGATGTCTGTGCGTAAAGGTTTCCCTATCCACGAGAGCGAAATCGAAAGTAGATCATTTATCTGTCATTCTCGCGCTGCAGATGCTCTGTTTAACTGTTTTCTCGTTAGTGAAATGCTCAGTTTCTCCACTTACGATACGTCAAGTGAAAAGCAAATGCGTTTATGTCAGGACGCAACTGGCTCCTAAAGGCAATGGGAGATGAGACTCCGACTGGTTTATTCTCAAAACACACCTATAACTCAGTAAGAGAATAAGCTCAGCCCTGTTAGACCATGCGCCACGGCGGATTTTTCCGTCCTTAAATAGCAAAAGTGGATTCTGACACGCCCTGAATGTGTTTGCGCTCTGCGCATGGACCGTCAAAATAGAGACCAAAATCTCTTCAAAGTGTTTCATATTCAACTCAAATCAAACGCGGCGCTGCACGAACTGTTTGCTCGAGTCTCAAAATAAATCATGCGCCCCACCAGCTGAAATCATGTCGCACGCACCCAAAACAACCTCTGCAAACACAGCGATGACGTCACATTCGCCACGCACACTCAAGCGAACTAGCGGACGCGTTGAGTATAAACCAGGCTGTAGAAAGGCACAGGATAGGAGAAAAGGTGACAAAATCATTTCAAAGACTGGAGAAGTGATCAGGAATGTGATTCAATTTCAGATTGTATGACAAATAAAGCCATTATTCTACAGCGGTATGATGAGTTACTATAGGCACTGATGCACAGCCCAACTCAGGCTTTTTCTGACTGAGAATGAAATGTTTAACTCATGCCTGATGAGGTGACACAGTGGTACAGTAAGTAGTGCTGTGGCCTCACAGCAAGAAGGTCGCTGGTTTGAGTCTCAGCTAGGTCAGTTGGAGTTTCTGTGTGGAGTTTGCATGTTCTCCCCCTGTTGGCATGGGTTTCCTCCGGGTGCTCCAGTTTCCCCCACAGTCCAAACACATGCGCTATAGGGGAACTGAGTAAGCTAAATTTTCCATAGTGTATGAGTGTGTGAATGAGTGTGTATGGGTGTTTCCCAGAGATGGGTTGCAGCTGGAAAGGCATCCGCTGCGTAAAACATGTGCTGGATAAGTTGGTGGTTCATTCCGCTGTGGCAACCCCTGATTAATAAAGGGATTAAGCTGAAAAGAAAATAAATGAATGAATGAATAATGCCTGACGAACCCATGCTGACGGGCTCTGCGTGGAGCTGTAGATGCCACATGTGCAGGAGTGACCTGCGGCTCTGTGTGATCTCCACCACCACCAGGAAGAACCGCGCCGAGAACAGCGTCTGCCTGGAAACTGAGAGAGAGTTCATCAAGCGGAGAGAGAGAGAGAGAGAGAGAGAGATTACATATTTTCAACTTGTATTAGTATTATTATTATTTTGAACATGCCCTAGTGAATATTTATTTATTCGTTTGTATTATTTTAATGATTTATATATAACGATTATTTAATACAATTATTGATATAGTTTAGAGTATACATGTAGCTGTTTACATAACTATTTCACAGATCTATTATTGTTTTCTTTTTATGTATTATATATATGTTTGTTCATTATTTATTGCTTTGGCAATACTGTAGACGTCAACCTCATTTGAATTTGAAAGGGAGCGAGAGAAAAAACAGAATTAAGTGAGAGAAATAGAGCGAGATCTCCTACCAGACTCCTCTTCCACCTCCTCTGTGTTGTGGTTTCCTAGGATCAGCTGCTCCTCAAACACATGCAGCATCTGCGTCTCCTTCCCCTGCTGCACACGCACACACACACACACGCACGCACGCACGCGCACACGCGCACACACACACACACACAGCAGAGCAGATGAGGAGCTGCACATCTGGAGCCGATCTCACACATATAGAAGCAGATGTCATACGTACAAACTCTGTGATGGCGTCCAGCTCGATGATGCAGCCGGGTCGGGCCGTGGACTGCTGGCTGATGATGTTGAACACCTCTCCTACATATTTCTGGAGCACAGAGACATGATCAGACATATGCAGCAGTCATACAGTTTCATTCAATGCTTCTTAAAGCAGACCCAATATGCTGCTTTTTGCAAGCTGTAAATGCGTCTCTGCTGTTTCTAGAGTGTGTGTGTGTGTGTGTGTGTGTGTGTGTGTGTGTGTGTGTGTGTGTGTGTGTGTGTGTGTTTGAGCTGAGAATAGCACACAGATAATGGTCTCTTACTCTCTGAACGGACCCTTTTAGGCTTCGATCCTAAATATCTTCTCATTAAAACCACATCTTTTCTGGCAATAATGAGAGATGATTTCACTGAAATGACATCTTTACATATCCATGACGTCTTTTTAGTACAAGAAAAGTTTGTTTTAAAGAGAAAATATCTTTAAACAAAATAATATCTTGTTTTTACGAGAAAATGTGGTTTAAAAAAGAAAATATTTAGTTTTTACGACTATTTTTACGTAAATTTGTCATTTGAACAAGAGAAGACCTTGTTTTCACTGCAGTCGAGTGTAAGAATAATAAGTGTGTGGCTTCAATGCGTCACTATACAACACATGAAAAAGATGAAACCCTGTGAACAGATTAAACACAGCAATGGAGGAAGAGCGCTCTTATTATCTCAGCTGTCAGTCAGCGCCCACTCTGTTTTTCTGGGTCACTGCGTCTTTGCGTGTGCAGTGTCGATGCAGACATCAGATATCAGTCTCTTTTAAAAGATAACGCAGGCAGGAAGATTAATAAATAAATCAGATACAGTCACAAAACCAGAGCTGACCATCAGGACCTGCGGTGTAATGCAGCCTGGTTTATACTTCTGCGTGGACTCACAGCGCATGGCTTGCGTGTAGCCGTGCATTTATACTTCAGTGTGCTGTTTGTGTTGCTCTGCAATAACACTTCTGAATCGCTGGCTGGCAGTGGATCTTTTGCCTGCAGTGATTAATGTGCTGACTGCATTTATTCAATAACGAAATGAAAGTGTTGACAGTTTATTTGTTTCACACTAAAATTAGTTATTGGTAATGCCGAGTTCAGACTGCAGGATTCTACCGTGATTTTGGCTCGCCGACAGGTTTAGACAAATCGCAGACAAATGGCTGTAATCACAGGCAAATCAGTGCTCGTGCACGCCAGTGACAACCACACAGTGTGAACTATCAAACACGCGATCTGAGAGAATCACAGATGAGTCGCCTATGGCCAGGAGATATTTGGCGTGCTGATCATCTGGAGCTGTCGGCGATTCGCATCATGCAGTGTGAAATAACATCAGCGATCACCAACAGCCAATCAGAGAGCAGCAGGCGCTAGTGTGTGTGTGTGTGTGTGTGTGTGTGTGTGCGTGTGTGTGTGTGTGTGCCTGCAGGCCAGCGGGAGGATGAGAAGTTGAAAGCGCTCATCTTCAGTTTATTAGGACCCAAGAAATGGAGTAAAAATACTGTAAATTTGGCAACACCTGTGTCTGTTTGACATGTCATGTGAGCAGTACGCACAACCGTGTCGAAAAATAAAAAAGGTTTAAGAGTAACTGCTCCCATTAAAGCCCGGTGAGCAAAATGAGTACACTCTCTAGCCCACTGAAGGCTTCTTTCTCGTGATGTAGTTAATAACATGCTGTATATTACGTGACCTCGCGTTGTTTCCTTGTCTTCTCACGTGTGTTTGGTTGTGAGACGTAGTTTGAACAAAGTTGTTGTGATTCTTCCTATTGTAAAGGGGTGCACAAACCTTTTTCTTTAAAGGACCAAAAAGCTAGCTAAATTAGTGGTTGTGAGCCAAATATATATACCAAACATAAATATATATATTATTTGCCATGTGTAATTCTCTTAAATTTAAAAATATCTCAATAATATTGCTTTAAATTCTATTATTATTTTTTATATTATTTTTTTATAGTATATTTATTTTATATTATATTATTATTACTCATTTTTATTATTTGTTTTTATTTTTATTTTACTTGTTTCTATATTTTTTGTTTATGAAAAGCACTTTGAATTGCCACTGTGTATGAAATGTGCT